TATCAATGTTTTGTATGTGTGCTTTTATACTAGACAAGGCACACACTAGTAATTCGAAGGACCGTAGCGTTAAACACGCTGCACTGACAGTGCAGCGCGATGCTCAAAAAGACAAGTGCTACCAATGCTTTGCTAAAACGACATAGTGGTGGCACCTGTCCATAGCTTTGCGTTCTACACCTTATCGCTTCCAAGAATGGCACGCATCTTTCTCCGCAGGTACGGAAGTCTTTCTTCGTTTTCGAAGATAACTGCCAGATGGCGCTCGTGTCTAACGTGTCTCGCTACTATGGCATGTCTTTAAATAGACTTTAAGCAAGTAGACTTATCTAGAAGGAGGTTATCTGATTGATGGCTAAAGTCAAGGCACGAGTGAAAATTAAACTCTTCACTGCAAAGTACGAATCCTCAAACTCACTTTTCAAGGAAGAAAAAATAAATATAGTTTTGGGTTCATTAAGTATTACGGCTTGGTGGCGCTAGCCACCGCCCGATCTAAAGGGTACAGCCATATCCATCCATCCATCCATCCATCCATCCATCCATCCATCCATCCATCCATCCATCCATCCATCCATCCATCCATCCATCCATCCATCCATCCATCCATCCATCCATCCATACATACATACATCCATCCATACATCTCGATGCCCTCGTTCGCCTCCGCTCCCACTCGGGGTACTCCAACGCAGCGCCTACAAAATACCATTCACCGATTCCCTTGCGTGGAACATCAAATAAATGTTTTGTTCACTCTCACTGGACGCAAGACTATCGTCATTCGACGACATTTGCAGTACAGCATGCAGATCCATGGTCAATATTTTTTTGTAATTTGATTGCATTCACTTTTTCGGCGTCTCTTCCGTGACGGACTTACGTCACTGAAGCCATGGTGAACCCGGCATAAAACACGTTCTTGTTAAAAAAAAAGCTTTGTATTTACTTATCGGCTCCTGCATCTATGTCGGCAGGCATAACTTTGTTTAGTTACGTCGCAGTTCTTGACTATGTGAACAAAGCTGCAGAAAAAATAGTAACGGGATTTTGTCAAAATTTGGAGCGTGGTATGTTGTTTGTTAAATAAAATGTGAGGTGGCCCGCTGAGATTTGGCGCATGACAATATTGTGAAGCTTCTGGCTGGTAAAGGCGCAAATGCAAGGACAATAAAGGCACAAAAAAGTAATTGTTGTCCCTTCTGTCTCATTTTACCTGCCGTACTCGCTTCTTACCCTGCTGCACCATCGTTGTGTCAAAATTATGACATGAGTAGGAGACATGCCATAGTAGCGTATTGCGTATTAATTTTCGCATCGTACAATGTCTTAGACGACAGCCGTTTATGCGCCGCGCCCCTGTACAAGGTGTTTTATCTAAAACACAAAAATAATACTCATCACGAGCGTTACGCGTCTTCAATTAGCACAGTGTTTTTCTCAGCCAAATAGAGCGCAATATATACTTTTTTCCAATCCGTCGATGTAGGCTATTGAAGAAATAGCTTAGTGAACTTTTTAAATAGTGGCTCTTGAGGAAAACTTTCAATACTCGTAGTTCTTATCTAGAAATAATAAAACTTTCATTCTGCGGTAATATATTCGCACTGCCTATTTTACTTCCAGCCTTTGTGTAAGGTGCGCGAAGTTTTAAGAAACTACCAAGTGTTTGCCAACTGACGGGCGCCGTTTTTAGTGCTCTCAAATGTAAGTTCAAGAAATTATCACAAAATTGACGCATGAAGGTTCCTTCATTATGATTGCGATGAATTTTAGACGATGGTGGGAAGGCCCTGTTAGAAAATAAAAAAAAACAATAAAGAGCGGCTGCCGCGTGCGAATGTTATACGATACCAGATGTAGCATTCGTCATGGTAGCGGCATTATTTTAAAGGCGATAGTGTTTCTCGAGATATTTGAACACAGAAATTTTGGTCTGCCTAACTTTTTTTGTTGGTCGGTAACTTGATTCAGCCACTGGGCGCAAGTTGGAGCCCTTGCTCAACACCCAGCAATTTTGATCTGGTGCTGCTGTTCTTGAACATTGTCGATCAAAAATCAAATATTTCACATATGTGAGGCATAGTGTGAACATGTAAGCATTAGGTAGGCTTTTTTCTTATATTTAAAATGCACGGACACGTCATTCTAAAAATTTTAGCGTTTCATACACTGCACTCACAATGCAACGCTATGCACAAAAAAGCCTGTGTTTCCTACGCTTCGCTCAAACAATATGGTGCTGCCGCCTACCAGTGGCTCTGCGTTGCACGCAAGCTTTAGTTTTCCGCCATTACTGCCAGATGGCGTCCATATCTCACGCAGTGCCTCCAGACAGAAGACTGCCATCTTTCGAAGACATTTAGCAGTAAAGTACAGATAGGTGGCCAATGTTTTTTCTTTTATTTTCAGGCAAACAATAAACATGATGGAGGTCGAGAGGGTGACATGTTTATCATTGCCCCCCCCCCCCCCCCCCCAAAAAAAATGCCGATGCTGCGGGCAATGCTGCCTACAATCTCGTATCCCATTCGTGCTCTGCCTCTGCTTTTTTGTCAAAGCTATTTTTCCTTCTTTTTTTTAATTGGTACCATCCACCCGTTGCCTATTGTACATAGCAGTCGCCGATAGCCTGTACAAGGGACCTTCGTGTGTGGGCAGTCTTCGATAATTCTTTGAAGTTACATTTGAGGGCATGAAGGAGAGTAAGAAGGGCTTAAGGCAGACACGATCTCTCGAATGCTACTGGAGGTGTCCATGCTGCAGAAATGCTACAGAAGCTGTTTACAGGAGGCGTTCGGGGCTCTAGATTCGGAAGAGTTAGGGATACTAGTTAATGCAGGGTACGTCAGTAACCTGCGATTCGCTACAGCATTGCCTTGATGAGTTACTCATTGGAAGAATTACAGCTTATAATTACAGAGCTGGACAGCGAAAGCAGAGGAGTAGGTTTGAAAATAATATGCATAAAACTAAAGTAATGTGCAATAGTTTCGGCAGGAACAGCGCTTTGCGATAAGTGGACAGACGTTAAAACTTGTAAAAGAATATGCCCACTTAGGAAAGGTAGTAACCGTGGAGCTGAGCAATCAGAGCGAAATAGCTATAATAATAAGGACTGGGTGGATCAAATTCGGCAAGCATATTCTCCAAGCATAAATAGTAATGTGCCACTAACCTGAAGAAGAAGGTATATAACTGCTTCATCATGCGGGAACTTACCTATGGAGCAGAAAACTGAAGGCTTGTTTACAAAAACGGTTCAGATTAAAGTGCGGATGACGCAGCGAATGGTGGAAACAAAGATATAGGTTTAGCCTTTAGAGACAGGAATAGAGCAGTGTGCATCAGGGAACAAACCACGGTTAAGGATTTCGTAGTTGAAATCAAGATGAAAAAATGGACATGGGCTGGGGTTGTATCGTGTGAGCAGGACAATCGCTGGTCATTAAGAATAGCTGTCTGGATTGCCAGAGAAGGCTAACGCGCGAGGGAGAGACAGAAAGATAGGTGGGCCTATAAGATGAAAAAGTTCGATGGAATAATGCGGCAGGAGAAGCACGAGACTGATTTGATTGGCGGATCATGGGAGAGGCCTGTGCCCTGCATTGGATGCAGTGAGGCTTATGAGGATGACTGAGGGCGCGAAAAACACCACGATTTTGACGGCAATCACCAGGAAATTTCAGGAATCGTGCGTACTTTCAAAAAAGGTCGGAAAAAATTGGCAGCATAGTTATCTTACTGCATATTGATAATTCTAAATATCTGGTTATGCACTACAAGCTTTGTGTTGATAATTTTTCCTAAACTATGTATTTAAAAAGCTCATCAAGCACTTTTTCTTAATTGCCGGTTTTGGCGCGTCAAGGAAATATTCTGACATGACCTATATGACCTTAAACAAAGCTTAACTAAGCGTATACGCGTAGCACTCATGTGTAATTTTTTATTGCTTCAGGATTTTAACTGAAACATCCTGTTTAAACTTAGCTTCATTTGCCGGCATGTGACCCAATGCTAAGGTCGCATGTGTGATATACATTTCGAAATCACCACCGAATATTGCGCTACTTAATGGGACTGTCAAACACTATTTAAGCGCGATAAGAAAACACAGCCGATAAGTAGTCGAGAACAACGATAACACTAAAGCCAGGCGTTAGAGTACAACACGTGGTCTGAAGTTTACGTTAGGATTCTCTAAATCGGCTAGAAATCATTCTCTCTTTTTATACAGATGACAACACATACCCAAATGAGTGCGCCGTATACCCAACCTCACGAGCACTGGCTGATTTATGCATCGCGAGTCTCACGGCCGCTTCGGGAGGCTGTCACTTGTTCGCACGCTCGCTCGCAATCACACTGAAAGACGGTCGTTCAAAAAAAAAAAAAAAACTGGAAGTCATGAATTGCTCATGACTTATTTTTTTCCCACTGCCACGCCTTTCTTATTAGCTTCCAAGTAGCTAGAAGAGAGGAGAGGGGAGGTAAATATAACTTGCAACAAATTTCTGGAACTCTGCTCTTAAATCACCTATTCAAAAAAATTCGCGGGGCTTGATTCGTGAGGCAATAATCTTTTTAATGAAGCCTTCAGACAGTTACTGTAAAAAGTATCGCAGGGTCCATGAATTGGGAGCAGTTCTGCTGCTTGTTGTTCGTGTTATTGCACGAACACTCATTTACACTACTCTAAATATCGATGAAGCAAAAAAAAAAACACTTGTGGCCTTTGCTAGGATAATGGACCTGTTTCGAATTGCGTAGAAGAGTTCAACCATCTCGTGCGAGAATGACGCTATGGTACCTCTACTGAAAACGGATGAACACGAGTTAATTTACACTGAACACCCAACAATCTCTTCCATACCGGTTCCCAAAGTTCAGCCCAGAGCCGTCATATTCTTTAAAAGGAAGGTGGAATTTCTTCATTCGTTCGTCCACTCATTCATTATAGCTATCACCAACTTATTTGTTTGTTCTTCAACTGCCAGGGTTGATCTCTACGAAGAACCACACGAAGCTACGGGTGAAGGCTTCTGCAAGGCACCACGGCTGAGCTTCGTGGAGTGCAGTTGTCCAGATGCAAGCGCACTCGGAAGGCAGAAGAAAAGTGGAGAAGCGGCAGGCATAGATAAGTGCTGGTGGGTCGTCGTGCTTGCCTTCCTGATGACGACCATGGAGTCCGCAACCAGCCGATGTTCTGGGTTTCTCTACGTGGGAATCATAGAACAGATGAACGTTGATCGTGGCCTGGCCTCATGGCCGGTAAACCTGGTCACCTCCGTGAACGACTTCGGGGGTAAGCACGTTTAGATCGGTAGCGTGATAGGAATACCAAACGTGTGGCGCATGCTTAGCTGCTGCGCGGACTCCCTCCATAGGACAAAGTGATTGTGGCTCTAGACACAACAAAACAGACATAACAGAAAAGCAACATTCTGTAACAGGCACATCTGAAAGCGATGGTTGAGGGCTCCTTTCACATTTAATGAAAACTTACGTACGAAGAAATAGGGACACACTGCAGACTGATTCAAAAGAACACATAATTATCAACTGACGTTTAAACGAGCAATGTTCCTATGTCTCTACTGATTCCAATGTCCCTATTTCTATTTTCTACATCTTTTTATGTCAATGTCATGTAGGGGAATGTCATTCCTTAACATTGCGTCGCAGAAGTGTAGAATGACAGCCACACGTCAAAATACGATATTTGGATAATGAGCGTTTTAAAGGCCAACCTATTTGAAGCACTTTGTCGTAGTTAATTACTATCAGCTGCATATAATAATTTTAGAGAAAGACAGTGAAGTTACCCAGAATTGTAGCTTCCGGTTTGCTGCCCCGCAATAAGGCGAGACGGAATGGAGAAGAAGGTGATAAGGAAAGCGAAGAAAAAAGCACACGCGCAAAAAAAAAAAGAAAATGTGGGGTGCGCAATACCGTATTCAATAGACCACTGCTACGCAAGTGTTGCCTGACAGACGCATTGTGGGCCCTTCGCTGATTCACAAAAAGAAGAATTCAGGTGTAGTGTGAACTCCGCAACTGCAGTTACAGTAGGCATTTATGATAGTTAGAAAGGCCGCACAGTCGTTCGTTTTCTTACAGCAAGATGGAGAGAGCCTCCAACTTGCTGTAAAAAAAAAAAAAAAACGAACGACTGTGCGGCCTTTCGAAATATCGTAAATGCTTACTGCAACAGCGGTTGTGCACTAGAGACATACACCGAGATCCCAAGCCATGCTGGCCCTTCACAAAGGCCAGTTAAGCTATGACATTCTATACTTGAATCCCACGCTGAAACATCTTTGATGTGTCATTACGGTAGTGACGATATGGGCATTCTCGGCAGATTGTCAGGCGTCACCCTCATGTCCCACATATGTATATTGTGACGGGGTCATGACGCTGACATAGGTGGAGATGACTTGTAGAAAGAAAACTATTTAATTTGCCGAACGTGTGGCCGGTAAGCAGAAAGTCGCATTACAGCCATGCACACTGCCAACAAAAAGATTACTGGCACATGAGTGTAGGCAGCGGCAAGCAGCTGCCTACTCTGCATCCCCCAAACCCCCCATCAGTGTACATCTGTAGTGAGCCCACGTTTTATTGCTCAGGATATTGCTCAGGATATTGCGTTTTATTACTCACGTAAATACCAAGGTCGTTGCCAAGAATCACAGTTTCCGTGCATGTATCATGCTGTGATTAGTTTTCAGCAGTTCTTTCGGCACACGAGTCGTATTCAGGCAGTGCAGAACTACAGCTGGGAACCGTTTCTTCGGCTGCTGCAGCCTTTTTGCCAGTTGTCGAGTGTGCACTGAGGCAAGCGTCACCTTTCGAGAAACATTCGTCAAGCGTTATCTTACGGCGCTTCAGTGTGGCCATCGAGTCTCATAGTAAAGCGCTGACATGGAATGGGAGCTACAAAACAGTAAATGTAGGCAGCGTATTCCATGGGGTTGACTTCAAATTGCTAGGAAGCAACGCGCCGTCACACTGCGTGTTGAAGTTCGAGCAGTTACACTGAATGAGAATGGAGGGGGAGTTGTTCTCGACGTCATGCCCAGGGACACTTAATACTGCTTTGCGTGCTGAAGGTTACCGAACCCCTGGTCTATGTCAGGCAATTAAAATACAGCTATTGGTAAGTTATGTATTTCGATTCAGTAGGAGACAGCATAGCCACTAAAAGAGTATCCTGTCTAAATGCTTCTGTTGGTGGTTTCTAGGCTTGTTGTAATTATCGTCGGACTCATATTTTCAAAGTAGACAGAACTGGGTTTTGTGAGTGCCCTGTGTGCCTGTTTTCTTTCTGGAATGGTTCTTACTAACCGAAATAAAGCATGTTACTCATGTTCATTGTATAACCACTTGTTTGCAGGCTTAGTGTCTGGCCCCTTGAGTGAACATTTTAGCACAGTTCCGGTGATGGCCGTTGGATCTGTGTTGGCGTCAGCCGGCGTTATTGCTTCAGCTTACGCGCCGGACGTCACATGGATCTCCGTTAGTCTTGGCATTGTGCATGGTATGTGACTGTTCGTGCTCCTTATGCCCCCTGTGTGGTCTCAGGTATACACAGGGCGGCGTGTTCTCGGAGTAATTTGAAAAAGTTCAATAAACTCCCGCCGGTAAATTTTTGACAAGTCGAATTTATTCGGTCAACTCCAATCTTGAAAAATTTTCGAAGTTCACAAACATTTTCAAGACTGACATTGATAGAAAGTGGAGTGAACACCCATCAGTGGCAGTAACCTCGTAAAGCATGTTTGAGTCTGTTACTACAGGCTGTAACGTTGCAACACTAACTAACGTAGGTGCTTTGTATTCAAATATTTGCGCTAGGGTGCATATGTGTTTGTGCGTTTTACATTTGAGAAATTTAGAGTATTTTTGGTTTGCTTGTTTTTGTGTTAAGATATACCTTCTAAGATTTCGCAGTACACGCAAGAATGGCATACAGTTAGGTCCTTTATATTTGACCAAGAAGATAAGAGAATAGGCAGCTTGTCTAGCTCCGGCCCACCAAACGTAGTTCACAATTGTGCAGTGCAGTGTTAAATTAGTGATGTGTGGGCCTATTAAGGGGATGTGTGTAAACAAAATGGAAAAAATGAAGGGTTGAGAAGCAGGACGCTCAGCAAAAATGTAACGCCTTTTTATTAGAATTAAAATTATTATTAACACAGAAATTCGGAGAATTGTATATCTACGAGTATTGAACTATGATAAACGCCTAAGTTCCATCCAAAACTAAACTCCAAAAACACAATAGAATTTTCAAGAAAAATAAACTCGATAACACTAAGACCTTGTGATTTTCTATATTCTATGAAAGAAGTAGAAAATAACTGCTATGAAGTTATTGTTCGGATAGGGTTGCAATATATAAAATAAGTGCTATTAAAAGACTTTCGTTGGTACATTTTTTTTGAAACAGAGGTGGATCGACTGTTGGTGTAGCATGCACGATGCAGCCGCTGTTCATCAGCTTTTACAGAATAAGATGCACGTGTACAGTGCAGTTTCTTGTGACGCTGTGCTTATCAGTGCCAAATGAAACTTTTTGTGAACGTGAAGTGCATCGTAGAGTATGGGGTGGCAGTAACAGATTCATAATCGTATATCTGACCATCACCGAGTGGGCCTAGCCAAGTCACGTTTGAGCTTACTCGCATCTATTGTGGACCAATCAAAGTTGTTTCACTCACTCACTCACTCACTCACTCACTCAATCACTGACTCCCTTACTCACTCTTTGCCTCTGCTTCAACGCGAGAATTTCAAAAGAGGCGTCAACATCTAGCAAGTTGTAAATGTAGAAATCAGTGCGGTATGCAACCACCAGCCCTGTTGTTATCAATTCACTTTATCTTCAAACTGCGTTACATTACCGGTATCAGTTGCATTGTGCAGAATCTCGTAAACATTCAATTTATATCATTAAATTGGTAACGTGAATCAGTTTGACATTACATACAGCGTGTAAGTACACGACAGCTTTAGACAACAGCGTTGTTGACTACGAAAATACAACAGGCCAGAACTCATCCCAATGAGCGTCTCCATGACATTGAGTTGCTATTCAAACTCACCGCTTTTCGATTTTTTTTCAGGTGTACAACATTGCTACGAGATAAAAAATATAGTGGTGTTTTTGTTGGAATATTTGAGCATTGGTGCTTTGTTGGGTTGCAACTTCCTTGATTGCTGTAATTGTTATAAATGAAGGACGCACTTAATACACATACTCGCAAAAATTTTGTGCCTGAAAGGCAAGTCTTTGTCGCAATAATAAGAAAAGAAAGTGAAACAACGGGTTTTCCAGCCTGAGTTGCACTCAGGATTCTGGTAAGTAAGTCTAGATTGGGCAGTAAAAAAATTATTTCAGACATGTTCCACGTTGAAAGTGACCAAATTACAACCTGACTTGTTGATGAGCAATCTGTAATACCTACCTAAAATTAGGCGGCAGAACGTGTCCCGTTTTGCCCTCCTGTTACAGAAGTGTAGGACTTCATGGCCACCTTTGTGAAGCTTGTATGCGGACTGTGCAGTCAGCTCTAGCAGGGTGTGTGCGTCGTGTTATGTGCTGTGCTGAATTTCGTTCCACTAATAGCTTAACTAATGCATAAATAATGAAGTAGGTGGCATGCTTTTGTGTCAAAAGCTGAAGTAGCGCCCCACGTCTCCGTAATTTTGTGCGCACTGAATGTAAACGCATGTAAGTGTCACTCGCATACCAGTCTCATCCTCTTTTTCAATACCACCGCTTAATATATGCTTTCCTACTACATCCAGGCTTCGGCGTAGGAGTCGTTGCGACCATGCTGCAAGTCATTATAAGTATGTATTTCAAGCGGTATCGAGGCACCGCCCACGGCATCATGTTTGCCGGTTCCACAGCGGGCGCCTTCTTCTACCCTCAGCTACTGCTCTTTCTACGGAACACGTACGGCTTCCGTGGGAGCCTGCTGATTTTTGGTGCCATCCTTATGCACATGTTCGCCTTAAGCCTCGCGCTTCATGAACCCACTTGGGTATCCACCGAGAGGCTTGAAAAGAGGCGCCCAACAGTAGCAAGTCTACCGGCATTCCCAACTAATAAACTGGCAACCCGACGCCCGTCGAAGCTACGTCGAGCATCATGTCCGGCCTTTACAATGGAGCCTTGGCTTTCCAATAAACCAGACCAATCATCGTTTTTGGGCGGTGAAGTTGGAGAACAACGTCCGGCACAAGTAACCAGACCGTCGCTTCTCACTGCTCAATGTGAAGGAGACATCACGACAGGGGTGGTGTCAACCTCTCAGGCTGTGCTGCATAGTGTCCGCGAAGTGCTCAGGCAGAGCATGTTTTACGCGCTCTTGGTGACCTGGCTGGTACTCAGTTACAACGTTGATATCTTCTTCTCCACAATAGTCGACCTTGCTTTGGACAAAGGTGTGAGCATGCGTGATGCTGTGGCCCTCATACCCTACTACTCAATCACGGACCTTGTGGGCAGGGTCTTCTTACCACTGCTGGCCGATCGAAAGTACGTGCGCCGTACAAACCTTATGGTGATAAACTACCTCTTTTTGGGAGCGACTGTAGTGTCGCTGCCTTTCACCAACAGTTACGGAGCATTGGTTGGCGCGTCGTTGTGCATCGCCATGTTCATGGGGTGCGGAATGACAATGCACAGCGTCCTGATGGCGGACTATTTGGGCCTTGAGCGGCTGGCCGTGGGGTACAGCATTATGGGCGCCATCTGTGGACCACTGCTCATGGGGAAGCCTCCGCTCGTAGGTGAGAACTCCACTCTCGTTAACAGAAAGTACTGAGAATATTTAGTTTCACGTGCGATGCAATTGTGTGCCATAGTCACAGTAACTCGGTTTAAAAAAATGACGGAAATGTTGCCCTCCGAGTTCTAAAACATACTACAACATTCTGATGCACCGTCACGCTTATTTGTGTCCTGCATGATGTGTATAATTATTCACATGCCTACTTCTTTTGAAAGCCGACAATTTAGATTCCTTGAAGAGGTCCGCTGCTGCTTCTCGCACTTGTATATTCAGCGTAAAAGAATTGTGTACACTACCGACAATTCGTACAATTGCTGCGTGCAAGTCGATTAATCGGTGTGTTACGAGAAGTTAGGACTAGAAATCTAGAAGTCTCTCAACTGCTGCCAAGAAAGAGAGGCGCCTTAAAATCATTCTTGAAGAAAAAACTTGCAAAGCGACTGCTTGAAAAAAAAGAACTAATAATAAAGGAGACAAAGAATGAACACAAATATGAACGTAGCAGGAAATCTCCGCGATGTGCAGTAGGCCATCCCATGAGTTCTGTTCTTTCCTTCATATGATCTGACTGTGCCCATCTAATGGGGTGTCCTACCTACACGACAAGGCAAAACCAGCTAAGGTTCAGAAAGCTTGCAATGCTTCCGAGCTTGGAGGTGGCGCAATGCCATGTTAGGTGCAGAAAACATTTTAAGAAGGAGAAAAGGGCGGAAGCTTTCGCTTTCAGGTAGTCTTACGCGACCGCAGAAGCCTCCGTTAATACATGCATTTCTATACAGTTGAATATGTCTTCATTATAAGCTGACCTGTTCGTTACATATTGGCCTCTTCATTCATCTATCCTCTTCATGCAACTAAACTCTTCCCTGATCTGTTAACTAACCCCATATATTATGTAACCGACTAACCTAACAGCTAACCCTATTACACCTTAAGTAAGTTGTGGAGGCAACTTCCGACAGGGAAACAGCAATTATCATGTTTTGCAGTAGTCGGTAGTTATGTAGTCATTCTTAGATCTCCGTTACTTTATGGCAGCATTTCTGCAAGTTCGCATGTATTGAATTTCATAATTGCTTTGCATGGCAGGAAACTGCGAGGTATCCTGGGCGTTGGCTCTATTTTACGCGACCTATTTTGTTTTATTGCCAGAACTTGCAAGGCCAGAAGGCCAGGTACTAATAATTGTGTGCCATCGAGGTGGTTGATTACTCCGCCTTGTATGATCACATTCCAGTGCACCCTGCCTCGAAATAAAAGATGTCGTGTCTGTACGCGAGGAATAAAAATTGGTTATTTTTTGTTGTTGCAGGTTTCTTCAGAGACAATCTTGGCTCGTACAATGCAATGTTCTGGCTTCTGGGAAGCCTGTGTATCTTTATCGGCTTGCTTTGGATGATGGTGTCATGGTTTGAAAGGAAGAAAGTTCGCAATTGGGAACTTGACATCGCAAGAAACATGCCGTGCACATTGCATATGTGAAGAGTACAGCGATTGAGAACAATATTCTTGTGCGAGAATGTACGCAAAGTTACCATACGCAGAGTAAAAAAAAATTAAGCGCCGACCAATGGCCTTGTTTCATGTGAAGTCGTTTGAAATGTGAAACAGTGTAGAAAAGGCACGTTCGCACCTGACTCATGTCTGTCTGCGAAACATATTCCCGCTATTTACGCTAGAAATAAGGAGGAGAGTGAAAAAACAAAATTAAAGGACAGGGAGGTTAGCTGCGCTGACAGCCTTTGCTGGGAAGAGGCTGAGGAAAGTAAATAATGAAAAAGAGATGTTAGAAGAAATTAAACAAAGAAGAAAAACAGAACAATAACGCCACAAAGCGCACCAATCAATGTCTGTCTATATGACCGTTTGTCCACAATAAACTCAACAACACACTCAAATTGTTGCGTGCCGACGATGGTATGAGCCAGTGTCCTGAATGTCTATACTCTGACAACGGGCAATTATCAAGTTCATTATAACGTATACGCCTAAGCACTCAGAGACAGTCAAATGATACGCACAAACGAGAACAAATGTCGCGCACGCAATTGAATCAGTGTCAGTGGTAAAAGAAATTGTAGAACTGGTAACACAAAAATTCAAGAGCATGGCATAGACCTCGGCCACAGAGTTCCAACTGCTAGGCATGACCAGGCTATCAAAGGTGCTTACTTTGTACATCTGCAAAAAAAGCTATTTTGCTTCTTAACAAAAAAGCTAATATCACTCAAGCCCCGCTACGCTGGTCTAGTGACACAGGTACTCAGCTGCTGACCCGCAGGTGGCGGGATCAAATGCTGGCGGCGGCGGCTGCATTTTCGATGGAGGCGAAACTGCTACAGGCCCGTGTGCTCGGATTGGGTGCACGTTTAAGAACTCAGGTGGTCGAAACTCCCGGTGCCCTGCACTACGGCATATCTCGTAGTCATATGATGGTTTTGGGACGTTGAACCTCATACATCAATCCCTCAATCACTCTATCAGTCAATCAATGAACGCCTTCAATTCAATTAGGGACGTACATGAGCTCACCCTGCAAAAGTTGTTAGATGTCGCCATGATAAATGAACTCTACGCAAGTACTTACGCCTGTCTCTTGTCGGTGTAGTCATAAGCGAGCACCTGCCAACGTTTTGTATCTTGGCGATAGTGATCGATACAAGCATGAAAAGAAAAATAAGGTTGTGGTATTAAGAAAAAACCAGAAAGCAAGTATCTGGTTTGCTAGGTGAGTCTGAGGCGTAGGCACATGTTTTTTTTTCGGAAACATGATGACCTCTCTTTGATTGCGGGGAAGGGGTCACCTGTTTTAATATGCATTTTGGCTCTGTATGCGATGCCGAAAAGATTTCGGAGGAGCGAATATGCCAGCGAGAAGCGTTGACTGAGATGGGCATTTGTTCATAGTTCTAATTTCAGCTCTAATTATCACGTTCACTTATTGAGAAGAATATCCGGCAAGCAGTTATCTACGCAAACTGATGCAAATCCTGCAATCATGCCAGTTTCCATGCAACATTACAAGCTAGCCTTTTCTCAATAAGATAAGCAAACCTACTTAACAGAATAAAATAACGAAGCCTTAGATTACTCACTCAACTATAAACAAACTTGCCATTAAATACCATGAATCACTTTTATTTTGTCAGAAAGAAGCAAAATAAACTTGAACCTCCAAATTAAATCAGAATGATGTAGTGTCTGAAAATAGGGCGGCATATGTAACTGTACTGTCATGTAGTAAGGAATATGTTAGAAAACAATATACGAATGGAAGGTTAGAGCTTTGATTAGAGTTTAGAAAATTACGGGCAAGGCCACTGTGTCATACTGCACTTTGCAAACGTATAGTGATGTTTCCAGATAATGAGAGGGTCATGCCTTTCGTGCATGCAAGCCAGCTAAAAACGCCAGGCCTGCGTATAAGGGGCAGCACAGACCCAGAGAAAGCTAGAAAAGTGGCCTTTCAGAGTGTTTTCTAAAACTACATGGGTTAACTGCTGCAAGCGCACTTGCTTGATGCCCACTACGGCATTAAAATAAAAACTTTCGGGCAGTTGGCCAGCATTTGCTATGCTATAATTCGTCATTCTTCTGAGAAGTGTTGCATCCGCTAAAATATTGCGAGGAATTTTGTGCCAATTGTGCATGCAGTGGCTGATGACGATTAAGAATTAGGTCTGAAGTGGGTATGCGCCACAGTTAATAGCTTAACTAAAAGAAGCTTTTGTAATGGGTTGGAGCATAGGACTACCCACTCGTTACGCTATTCGCATTGTGCGACGACTGCTCGTTCTTTCGCTGTTTTAAAACGCTTTATATGTCGTAATAATGCGTGATTGCTTTCCCGACATCAAGCCTGCCTAAGGCAAGTTTGCCTACAAGTCTCAAGCACCTGGCGTGGCTCAGTGGTAGAATACTGACTGGCACCGTAGCGGTCTCAGGTTTGAGTCCTACTGTGTCATTGGCACTAAGTTTTTTTCTTCGAATTTCGCGCGATGTGGTAACGAACACCGGCAGTGGTGGCGGTGGCGGACAACTACGGCGCTCTGCGAGGCCGAGTCATAATCTCTTAACGACTTTCGCTGTAAAACAGAAAGAGCATGATTCAAGAACAGAGAATTAAAAAAAAACTAGCCAAAAATAACAAAACCATAAGTGCTTGAAAAATACTTGTACCTTATCAAAGCTCCACAAAGCTTGATTTTTTTCCTTCTCGTTGTTAAGGTTATAATATTTAGTATTATATGATAAATAAATGTTGATGTTTTCATAAAGCACCAGCTATTTTCATGGAGGCAAATTGAACACTAACAAAATAAAGTCTTATTGAAAGAACAAGTAATTCTAATGAGATGATAGCACAAAGAAGAATAATATGTGGAGCCCCGCCGCGGTGATCTAGTGGCTAAAGCACTCGGCTGCTGAGCAGCAGGTCACGGGATCGAATCCCTGCAGCGGCGGCTTCATTTACGATGGAGGCGGGAATGTTGTAGGCCCGTGTACTCAGATTTTTGTGTGCGTTAAAAAACCCAGGGTGGTCAAAATTTCCGGAGCCCTTTTCTACGGCGTCTCTCATAATCATATGGTGGTTTTGGGACGTTAAACCTCACATATCAATGGAACAATTTTATGTGGTGTCTCCTCTCAGAACAATATAGTTCTCGCATTTTATAGGTACGCGTACACCGTATATGCTGTGAATTAACAATACACGATGCTGAGTTTTATAGTAACAATTGAATTGTGAACGTTCAGTTAGGGAACGCAGAATGTCTACTTCAATCAAGTGACACAAAATGCTACACGGTCAGGAACAATTATATGTATAATATCTGACTAAACAACATGTATCAGTAAATTGCAAGGTTACCACTCACTGCCTGAAGTAGGGTCGCGTTGCTGCGGCACTCACGTTGACTTTGTCATCGAAGATGGTGACCCCGTCCTTCTCAGGTCAGGAAGGCGAGCTGCGTTGTTGTTGAGGCTGGAAGGCTCGGAAGCTAGATACCTGTGCCTCACGGCTACTTGCGCTGGCCTGCGCCTCCAAGGAACAGACTTAGATAAGGCCTGCGGTGTACCATCATAGAATGGTGCGCTCGGGGCACAAGTCGATGGCGGTCTCTGAGCGATGCGGGCTGTCGTGACTCCAATCCGGTTTCTCGGACTCGTCCTTGAAAGCCCGAAGCCTTCGGTGCGATGCCGTTAAACAACGAGAGCTGAAGAGCCAGGAGCACAAGCCTTCGACGCTCGTGCCCAGCCCATGCACAAACGATCGAACACCCAGGGCCCTTCTGAACACGTCACCTTCTACTTTATATTGTTACGCTAGATCACAGGGGGAAATAAGGCTTATTTGCAGTGAATTTGGATGGTGACTAAGCGTGAGCCAAGATGACAAGAAAAAGCGCGTCCCACAAGCCTACACCATGTCATCTTCCTTGGTATGTCTCTTGCTTCTTCTGCGTGAAATAGTATCATAACAAAATCTTGGGCTTTTTCTCGTCTTCTCTTCGCGGTGTCCGTAGACTGTCGCGCCAGTCCGTGGCGCATGCCCGCAACGACTTGAAGATGATATTTAGACGGGAGCGCCTGTTTCGGCTGCTTTAAATAAATGCCTAGCGCCTCTGTGCTCGTCGTAAGCGCGTCATGGCATAGAAATTCAACAAAAATCGGATTCGCGAAACTCCAGGCGTTCCTAAGAAGATAAGCCTTCATTCGTTCGTGCAAGATGTAGAGCGAGAAAAAAAATGTGTGGTTAGGCTTCATATCGGTAAACTTATGAGGCTGCCAAAAGGTGTGCGCAGTGCACTTTTCAATCGAAGTGATTTCTTCTAGGTGAATACAGGTAAGTGAAAATAGCTCTCACTTTTAGTTTACGTAGGGGCTTTACGTGCTTGCGTTGCGACACGATGCGCCGTAAGAAAATTAAATCTAAGGAGTGAACGATGATGAGTGGGGCGAAGCGTGTGTCCGTTCGTCCGTCTGTCTGTCGGTCTGTCCGTCCATCAACTACATGAAATCGTCCGTCCGTTTGTCTGTGTTTGTGTCCGTCTTTCGTCATTCGTCCATCGGTCTGTATGTCTGGATGTCCGTCCGTAAACTATACGAAAATCGCTAACAGCCATTTAGTGATGTTATTTCTAAGGACATATACACAGCAACACCATAAATTGAGCAATTAATAAACTGGAGGTGGCTTCACACTACTAGTACTCCGACTACTAACCACGCAGAGGGAACCAGCCACACTTCAAGGAGATTCGCCCCTAATTGAAAATCTGCAAACTACGACAAGTTTTAAGAAATAAGCAAGCTAATCGAGTGGACGGGCAGTTGGTTGTTTGTGTGATTTTCTCAGTGGTTTTTACAGATTGAAAAAAAAAATTCCGCGAAACATTTCACTGAGCTCTGATAGAGTCCGGGCACTTGTCATTGCGTCCAGCATTATCCATATTGGGCTCGCTCGTAATTACATGAAACT